ATATACATGCTAATAAGCAACTAGTTAATAGTGAATAGTGTTCCCTAATCTAAAGTGTTACCAAAAAATTTGTTCAAATAAATGCTGTTCTTTTCAACTTTCTATTCATCAAAGCTTTCTTATGCTATTTTCAAAAACCCTCTAGGTAGTTTGCCGAGGCCCCCTAGTGGGCCCGACCCCAGGCCCCTGGTTGAGAACCACTGTCCTATATTATTAAACATAGCTCATACAAATGCTTGAGTTTTTAATAAGTTGGAGACATTTTTGCACTAATCAAATTATTTTGAGCATCTTCACTTTAGCATCTCTCTGTTTAAAGGGGTCATATGATGCTTTTTTAAAGATCATTATTTTGTGTATTTGGTGTAACAGAATATGTTGACATGGAAACCACGCCTTCTTTCTTTGCGTGCACATTTGGGCGCATTATGCAAATATTCCCACATAGTGAGGTAGATATGTGGGGGCGTGTTAGAACGAGCCGTTTTAGGGGGGTGTGGCAGAGTCTTAACTTTGATAAAGAATATCTCTTTGGTTTTGAGACTTTAGTCTTTGCAACTTCAGGGATCTTATCTATTCACGAACAGCTTGTAACACTCCAAAGAGAAAGGAAAACTTGAAATCGCATCATATGACCCCTTTAATAATCTGGGATCTAATAGACAACCAATAGACTTGTTACATGTCTCTGTGTGTGTGTGTGTGTGTGTGTGTTTAGGGAGCTGCTGCATACCCTGAAAATGAAGACCAGCAGCAGAAGCTCCGGGAGGCTGCGGAGGGCTTGCGTGTGGCCACTAACGCTGCTGCACAAAACGCCATTAAGAAGAAACTTATAACAAGACTGGAGGTCAGTGACTTGCTTATGATTTTCATTATGAGAAAAGTAATTGAATTTAGACAGGATTGTGTGATCTAAGCCAGTAAAACACTACACTGAATGTCTGCTTTAAATTTTTCCAGAACGCTGCTAAACAAGCTGCTGCTGCTGCAACTCAAACCATTGCGGCATCCCAGAATGCAGCAACCTCTAACAAGAACACTGCTGCCCACCAGCAACTTGTTCAAAGCTGCAGGGTTTGTATAAGTATTTCTTTGAGAATTTCCAAAGTGTTAGTAATGATAGTCCTCCTGTTGTGTTTATAACAGTGTATTCTGTATTATTGTGTTCATGTGGGTTAGGCTGTAGCTGACCATATTCCTCAGCTGGTGCAGGGAGTGAGGGGCAGTCAGGGGCAGCCAGAGGATAGTAGTGCCCAACTTGCCCTCATCATTGCCAGTCAGAACTTCCTTCAGGTAACCATCAATCCATTCACTGATGCTAATCACCTGTCACTCATCTGATAACATAACTATTCTTTAAAAGTGCTCTTTCAGTACTAAAACGTCTAATTCTATGTTCCAGCCTGGAAGTAAGATGGTGTCTTCAGCGAAGTCGTCTGTGCCGACTGTGACGGATCAGGCAGCAGCCATGCAGCTTGGACAGTGTGCAAAGAACCTGGCCACCTGCCTGGCTGAACTCCGCACTGCTGCACAGACGGTACTGAATCTGTCTTCTCCACACATGTAATTTATGAGTAGAAGGTACTTTTTTTGGTACTACTGTAAAAGGATAGTTCACCCAAAAATGAAAACTCTGTCATTTACTCACCCTAGTGGCATTCCAAACCTTGATGTCTTTCTTCTGTGGAAGGCGAAAGATATTTTGAAGAATGTTGGTGAACAGTTTCGGTTCCCATTGACTTTAACTGTATGGACAAAAATAGAATGGAAGTCAATGGGAACGGAAACTGTTTGGTTACCAACATTCTTCAAAATATCTTCTTTTCTGTTATGTAACAGAAAAAAAAAGTCATACATGTTTGGATTGACATGAGGGTGAGTAAATGATGACAAAATGTTCATTTTTGGCTGGACTATATACTTAATCAAATCTTGTCATGTGATATGTAGGCTCATGAGGCGTGCGGCCCCATGGAGATCGACTCTGCCCTTATAGCTGTGCAGACGCTGAAGAATGAACTCCAGGATGCTAAAATGGCAGCATCCGAGGGACAGCTGAAACCTTTACCTGGGGAATCAGTGAGTTGAGACCCATTTTAATATCGGTGATGCTATGATTATTTTGTCCTTGAAAAATAGACATATCAACATAGACAGACATATTGATTATGTAAATTATACATTCATTTTGTGGTCTAATTTGTGTGATTTAGTTGGGAAAATGCACTCAGGAACTGGGTGGCACATCTAAGGCTGTTGGTTCCTCAATGGCCCAACTGCTTACCTGTGCAGCACAGGGAAATGAGCATTACACAGGTAATATGCTCACCCTCATACATAACACATTTATTTGGCTAAATGGGGACATGCCTTGCAGCTCCGTTGTTTTATGTAAAGCTAATTATAATTACTAACTTTAGCCCTAAATGTTAACGTTTCTTGGGGAAAAAAATAAAACAAACAAAATTAATTATTTATTTGATTTGAGGATGTTCCTAAAGAGAGGTTTTGTCAAATTAAGTAAACTCCCAGGAACAAACATACATTCTGGTTGACACACACACACAGATATATATATATATATATATATATATATATATACTCCCAAACATGAACTGTATGTGTTTGCAGGTGTAGCTGCCAGTGAAACTGCCCAGGCTCTTAAGACATTAGCACAGGCTGCAAGGGGTGTTGCTGCCACCACATCAGACCCTGCTGGAGCCGCAGCCATGTTGGATTCTGCTTGCGAGGTTATGGAAGGATCAGCTAAATTAATTTCTGAAGCCAAGGAGACGCTGGTTGCTCCTGGTGATGCAGAGATACAACAGAGGCTAGCGCAGGTGAGGGGGGAAGAGATGTCTTATTTTGTCTTTTTTTAACGTTGCATTAAATTGAATCATTTAGCAATTATTATTCAAAATATTCGCTTAGAAATTAGGAAATGCATGCATAATTTGTCATTGAGGAGCCAGCAATGTTAGCAGTACCGCAATGCTGAATTTCAAGAATAAACTACTTTTGATCAATTTAATGCTTCCGTACTGAAAGAAGTAATCATTTTCTTTTTATTTAAAAAAAAAATATAGATATATACAGTAGATAGATATATTTATATAAATATTGATATGTGTGTCTCTGTTTTGTGTGTTAGGTAGCGAAGGCTGTGTCCCACTCACTGAATGCATGTGTGAACTGTCTGCCTGGACAAAAGGATGTTGATATGGCTCTGAAAAGCATCGGCGAAGCCAGCAAAAAACTACTTGTAGAGATGGTGAGCTACAAACAAGGACTTTTTCTTTTCTTTTGTCATCACCCAAGGTGCTAAATGCTAATGATAATTAATGAAAATACTCCACAAACATTGTAACTTGAAAATTTGTTCTATCGCTTAATGTACACTCACTGTCCTCAGTATAGTGCAAGCAATTAATAAATGTGCACCATCCTCATGTGTGTGTGGTCGCTGAGTGTTGTTACTTTTTTAAAATTTATTTTTATTTTTTTGCAGCTTCCTCCCTGCAGTAAGACCTTCCAGGAGGCTCAGAGTGACCTGAACCAGACTGCAGCCGATCTGAACCAGTCTGCAGGTGATGTGGTCCATGCCTCTAGAGGGACCACTTGCCAGCTTTCAGATGCTTCTGGGAAGTTCAGTGAGGACTTTGATGAGTTTCTGGATGCTGGCATTGAGATGGCTGGCCACACCCAGGTATTATGTGTGGAGCAGGAGAGAACATGAGAATGTGAATAAGTCTTACTTTTCCTCAAATAATAAGTAATGTTTGGTTGTTTTAGAGTAAGGATGATCAAATACATGTGATTGGGAATTTGAAGAACATCTCAATGGCCTCCAGTAAGCTGCTGTTGGCTGCTAAGTCTTTATCTGTGGACCCTGCAGCAGGCAATGCAAAGAACCTGCTCGCTGCTGCTGCCAGGTACTTCACCCCATGTTTATTCATGCATGTTTCATAAATGCTGCTCTTCCTGTATTTGTAACTTCACTCTCCTGTGTTGTTTATTCAGAACGGTGACTGAAAGCATCAATCAGCTGATTACGCTGTGTACCCAGAATGCCCCAGGACAAAGGGAATGTGACAATGCTCTAAGAGAGCTTGAGGTATTATATACAAACAATGCACGCTATTAAGTCATTTGTTTTAATATTTAAAAAATGGGATATTGTCTCTTTTTTTTCGGTTTACAGGCTGTTAGGGGCCTGCTGGATAACCCAAATGAGCCAGCAAATGATCTCTCCTACTTCGACTGCATTGAAAGTGTCATGGAGAACTCTAAGGTAACAGAAACATAATTATTATTAACTATTGGAGGTTTTGCTTGGAATGCTATCCAGATCGTTATTGCAAATTTTTATTTAAACTTTTGATACAGTTACAAACAGAAACATTTGAACATTTTACATGTTATTTGAGCACCGAAGCAGCATATTAGAATGATTTCTGAAGAGTCATGTGCCACTGAAAACTGGAGTAATGGCTGCTGAAAGTTCAGCTTTGCAATCACAGGAATAAATTGCATTTTAAAATGAATAAAAATAGGAAATGGTTGTTTAAAATTGTAAACATGTTTCACAATATTACTGTTTTTACTGTATTTTTGAACAAATAAATGTAGCCTTGGTGAGTGTAAGAGACTTTTTTTCAAAAACATTAAAAAGTCTTACTGACCCCACACTTTTGAATGGTAGCTTGCCTTATTACAAAAGCACATAATGCAGTTTGTAGTATAAGCATTTTCAATGTGAATCTCACATACTAAATGGACAAAATTGCTGTTAAGATGCTGAACTGGAAATATTCATTTAGCCTGTATATACAGTTAAAGGTAGGGTAGGTGATTTCGGGGAGGCTAGCAATAGCAAGCTAGCTTTGAAAGCAAGATCCCCATCCTCCCTGCATAATCGCTCTCCAAAGCCATACCTCCTCCAAAACACATGAACGTGTGTAGGCAGACCAGAGGCTAACTAGCAACACGATGAGAGACGGTGTTGGGGAAGGTTGAATGCAACACTGTCAAATTATCTCATGTCTCATTCACCGGTGAAAAAACATTACAGTACAAAATGTATAATATTACTATAATAACGCCTTCATTCTCGCACGGTCTGCAATAGCGTAATGGAATGCGCTGATGGTGTATCATGTCTGCGCAAACAGGGTGCGCAGAGGTATGCAAATACATACATTGATATGCAGGTAGGACAGCCTATAGTAGTCCTCGGACCGAGGGATATGATTGGATGAACATTTTATGGTCCTACGTCTTCCACAGACAATAAAAATGCATTTAAATACATTTAGACCACTTAACTTACTGATTGTTATCTGGATGTGAAGAAACTTTCAACCAGCATTACAAAAAATGCTTTTGAACCAAATCACCTACCCTGCCTTTAAATGTTAATGCATATCACTATGCATTAACTGATAATTGATCTTTAATCCACCTCTTTCTGATATATAGATACTCGGTGAGTCTATGGCTGGGATCTCTCATAACTGCAAGACAGGAGATGTTCCAGCGTTTGGAGACTGTGTGGGTGGAGCCTCTAAAGCTCTGTGTGGACTGACCGAAGCAGCTGGACAGGTAAAAAACTACCCGCTCTGTCCTTCCATGTCATACTTTGTTCACAACCATTATACATTTTTAACTTTGAACACTTTGTCTTTGTGTATGTACTGATCACACTTGTTTTTTGTGTGTCATTAGGCTTCTTACCTAGTGGGTGTGTCTGACCCCAACAGCCAAGCCGGACATCCAGGCTTAGTGGATCCTATCCAGTTCGCTCGTGCTAATCAGGCAATCCAGATGGCTTGCCAAAATCTTGTTGACCCAGATAGTAGTCCTTCACAGGTAGTGTCAGACATCGGGCATGTAGTGTTTGGGCTTAAGCCCAGAACTTGTCTTTCTGCAACATCTTCATCTGCACTTTTAAGGCCAAAATTATAATATATGCATGTTGCAGGTGCTCTCAGCTGCCACCATTGTTGCTAAGCACACCTCGGCGCTGTGTAATGCTTGCCGACTGGCCTCTTCTAAGACTGCCAACCCTGTGGCTAAAAGACACTTTGTGCAGTCAGCCAAAGAAGTGGCCAACAGCACAGCCAGCCTGGTCAAAACAATCAAGGTTAAACCACTCCTCTTTATAAATGAATCCAACTTTTATCCACTCCAGTGACATCAAATGATTGTTCTCTAACATAATTTCCCCTGTTCACTCCCACCATAGGCACTGGACGGAGATTTCTCAGAGGAAAACCGCGAGAAATGTCGTGTTGCAACAGCACCGCTCATTGAAGCTGTTGACAATCTAACCACGTTTGCTTCCAATCCAGAGTTTGCTAGTGTTCCTGCGCAGATAAGTAGAGAGGTATGAGGTTCTTCTTCATTGGAATGTCATTCACAATTGTGTCCTTTTTGTTGTTAATGGTTTATATTTTTCTACTCACAATTTAGGGTTTGGCTGCACAGGAGCCAATCATCCAGTCAGCATGCTCCATGCTTGACAGTTCCACCCACCTTTTGAAGACTGCTAGGTCATTGGTTATGAACCCTAAAGATCCGCCAACCTGGTCATTACTGGCGAGCCATTCACGCAACGTGTCGGACTCCATCAAGAGCCTCATCATGGCTATCAGGTAACACTCAAATACTGACGTTTTTGTAGTTTGTGTGAAACATGCAGGATAAAAATTAGCTACTATGAATGTTCTTTTTTTTAATAATTTCATAATTATAATAATTTTAGAAATTGATCATGTGATTTATATTACAGGGATAAAGCCCCTGGCCAGAAGGAATGTGACTCCGCCATTGATAATATCAATAAATGCATCCGAGATATTGAGCAGGCCTCACTTGCAGCTGTCAGCCAAAATCTTTTTCATAGAGACGAAGTTTCTTCTGAGGTAAAGTCTGTATTTTCTGTAGTATTTTTCTGGAAATTCTCCAAATTAATGTAGAAACAACATAAAGATGGTACATTTTAAATTCTATTTTCTTTTAATGGCATCTTTTTACTAAGTACTATGAATGAGGGTAAGTATCACTGATACTGATGCCTCTATTACATGGATTTTCTTTTCCAATTTCTAATGATAAAATTAGTAATTATAGCTATTTAACATTACAGTAACATTGAAAGCCATCATTTTAAACACTTAATAGGCAGAACATTAAAAAAAATTAGAACTGTAATTAAAGTTCACTTAAATTAAATGTTCACATAAACCCATTATAATAAATGTCACATTTAGATATGGCTTTAATATAGTGTGTTGTACTTAGTATATATAGTAATATAGTGATGTTTCTTTCTCCATCAATATCAGTTCTCTTTGAATGAAAGCTGTTGGTTCATTTTTCCCACATAATAAGAAAATTACTAGATAAAACATTTTGTAGCAATTTTTTAATGTGAGGATAGAAAAATTAAAGTGGGTTTTCTAACTGGGAGTCTTTAACTATTGTATGTTTCAGGCTTTGCAGGAGCAGTTAACATCATCTGTTCAGGAGGTGGGTCACCTGATTGAGCCGATTTCCACAGCAGCAAAAGGAGAAGCAGCCCAGCTGGGACATAAGGTGACTAAAACTGTACAGCCTTTACAGTCTAAAAGTATTTGTCATATAGTTTTCATCACTAATGCATGCCATAAGTATTAACTCAAACCTACGTCTGTCCCTCAGGTCTCTCAATTGGTCAGTTACTTCACTCCTCTGGTCTCAGCTTCTATGGGCATGGCATCCAAAATCTTGGATCATCAGCAGCAGATGAATCTTCTGGATCAGACCAAGACTCTCGCTGAGTCTGCTCTACAAATGCTGTATGCTGCCAAAGAAGGTGGTGGAAACCCGAAGGTACTTCTCTTTCATTCATATGTGCGTTTTCTACATATAATTTCAATCTTTCAACAGATTCATTTATTCATTTGTCTTTAGGCGGCTCATACCCATGATGCCATAGCAGAAGCTGCACAGTTAATGAGGGAAGCTGTTGATGATCTCTTGCTGACCCTGAATGAAGCTGCTAGTGAGGTTGGCATTGTCAGCGGCATGGTGGATTCGATTGCTGATGCCATGGGCAAGGTAATAACCCACATATTTTCACATTATAAACCGCCTTGATATGCTTTATAATTCCATTAAATTAAAAATACTTGACATTTTAAGTGTTTTACATTATTTAAGCCATGTAAAACCTTTATATGGTCTTGTCATCCTGTAGTTAGGTGAAGGTACTCCACCAGAACCAGAAGGATCATTTGTGGAATATCAGACCACCATGGTGAGATACTCCAAAGCTATTGCTGTCAGTGCACAGGAGATGGTAAGCAATCATAATTTTCTACATTTTATGGGTTTCATATATATTTCTTTATATCATAATGATTTATTCATTGACTTTAGTGTCCAATTTCATTGTATCCCTGCATTCTCTCCCTCAGATCACTAAATCAGTGAGTGCGCCAGAGGATCTGGGCAGTTTGGCATCTCAGATCACTGCAGACTACAGTCAGCTTGCCGTTCAGGGACGTCTGGCTGCCTATATTGCTGAACCAGAGGAGGTAATCGGCATACAGATGCACGGTCACTCTCTGTATTTCTCTCTCACACACACACATGCTGACCCTTGTGTTTGTTGGTGATTATAGATCGGCTTCCAGATAAAGACACGAGTGCAGGAACTGGGGCATGGCTGTATTGTGCTCGTTCAGAAGGCTGGAGCACTGCAGATCAGTCCATCTGACTCGTTCACCAAGAGAGAACTTATTGAGTGTGCACGAACTGTCACTGAGAAGGTAATGAAATGCACGACACACAAAACCAAATGATATGCATTACAATCTGCTTCCTGTCTAAGACTTCACGGTGTTTTCTGTTGAAATGTCAATATCTCCATATAGTAGCATTTTTTTTTTTTAATGCGGGTTTATTTTCTGTAGGTGTCCATGGTGCTTTCGGCATTGCAAGCTGGTAATAAGGGCACTCAAGCCTGTATCACTGCAGCCAGTGCTGTTTCAGGCATCATCGCTGACCTGGACACCACCATTATGTTTGCTTCTGCTGGCACACTCAATGCTGAGAACGATTCAGACTCCTTCGCTGATCACAGGTATCACACAAATATATAGTACAATGGGGTAATTTACAGTCTGCAGACATTGGTGATGCACTGAAATAAAAATTATTGGTAGAAATCAAAATTTTTGGACACATTGGTTCAAAAATAAAATAAAAGATTCTGAAAGCAGAATAATAATAATAATTATATATGTATAAGCAATATCATGAGTAGCCGTGCGATATGGTAATCACAGTGTGCCGATATACAGCCATATCACACGGCTACGAGTGTGAAATTGCATTTATACAACAGTTCGACAGCACGGGTGTGTAAATACATAAGAAACAACAATGGAGTGTCTTTAAAAACCCTCTTTTGTGCGGAACTACTTCCATCCATCACAGATTCAAATCTTAAGTTGACAGTTTGAGCCCAAGCCTCCATTACTAATTCGAAAATGTCACTTTAGAACTAGTAACGAAGGAACGTTGAGTTGCTTCATTGAATGCTTTTTGTATTACTGTATTAAAAGCTCACTGTATTATGTAGAGTTGAGTATTATGAGAGAGAGAGATGGACTGAGCGAGTGTGATTACCTGCATCTGATACAGCATTCATTCTTCAGCTCAATCTCGTATTCACAATAAAACATTAGTTTGAATGTCCGCTGAGGAAAAGCGATATCTTTGTTGTAGTATCCTTTCATCTGTTAAGGGTGATTTCATGACAGCGCTGCTCAGGTGTTGTTGAAAGTAAAAATAACTTTCTTGTTTACAACCCTGTTTCAGTCTCTTTCAATATAAAAGTCTTTACTGCTGACTCGCTCATAAAAACAGTCATCTAATGGTGGAACAGCGTAACTAAAATCACCATCACAAACACACACACCGTTTCTCAATACTAAATACTATTATTCAATACTACTATTATTTATATAAGTTGCTAGGCAATTCAGTAATAAGGCAGCACTCTGATATACAGCATTAAAGTTACATAAAATATAACGTGATGAGATTTTGCCCTCAGCCAAACTATTTGCTCTGGAACAAATAATAGATTAATGAGACCAAAGACTGCCCATTAGATTACCCAAAACGAATTAAATCTCATGTTTCACCACTATTGAGACATCAAAGCCAGTGGCAAATTCCAGAAGATCTGGCCGACGTGAGGCTGCGCTCGGCGGGTTCACAAATGCTGAACGGCCGCTGACGCCCTGAAGCTCACATCCCCGAAAACATCAAAGCAAATTTTCAAATAGACGTTAACTTTTTTTAACAAGCCACATATCTGAAGTCTAAAGTACATTTTTGCCTAAAAAAACTCTTAAAACTACATTCCGTTACACAAAAACAGTATTATTTATACAATTATAGTGGATTTGGGCATCCGCCATGACGATGAAATACTGCATCATCAAATACTGCATGAAATACTCCAAGCGGAGTGATACTTACGGTGAAACGGTTGGAGCTCTGTTAACACTAGAATATCGCACTCCTGGAAAAGGCTGTCAGGCAATTAGATTCGAGGACCAGAAAGAACTGTTGTATAAATAGAGACGTGCTGAAATCGCGTTTGGCCTCGTACTGTATCGCGTACCTTGTCAGTGTCGTGCGCTTTGCTTGGCCATTTGTTGTGATAAACAGGAAAGTGTGTCCAGCTGAATTCAATTTGAGTTTTGTTAGACGAATAAAAAAAAAGCTTAGTTTACCACGGAAGTGGTCGCGGCTGCGGTCGTGGTAAGACCGAAGAGTGTAAAGACCATCAACTCTACCGTGCGACTCCACCGGGCAGGACACCAGTAAAGGATAAGTATCGCTTTTTATTTATCCTCTTTCCTACTACTTGTTTCACTTCTGTTTCAGTTTTTTT